GGGGGGGGGGGAGCAGTAACCCACAACATAGGAGGCCATTTGTTCGGCATGTAAATGAAGCGTGAGAAAGCAAGGCTTTTCTTTTTCTTTTGTTTTCAAATAATACAATGAGAAACAAGCAATTTTCAACAAGCAATCTAAATCTATCTAGTCACTTTATTGGCAAGGTTAACTATTGGCAGGCAAGCCACAGGAGAGGCAACTGGCAGACTTGTCTATACAGGACACTGTAGAGATCTCAGAGAGCCTCACTCAACCAGTACTGTTCATTTCTCCAAGGCTCAGATGCCCTAACTTGGACTAGAGGCTCTTTCGTTGTACATACCATGCAAAACACACACTCTCTCTTCTTAATGGTGCCTAGCAAGTAATTACATAATGTGTGCATCCTCTTCTCCTCTTTCAATTAATAGAAAGTAGGGATATGCAAATATAAAACATGAAGAACAGATTGGCCTTAACTGTAAAAGCTAATAAGGTTAAATTACATAGCAGAGATGTGTGTTCTCTCTTCTCTGAAATGTGTTGCCTCAAGCACTTATTTAAATGTGCTAGGCATTTGGGCAGGGCAATAATTGAGTGACTTTCAGACATTTTTGTTGGCTATTGTTCTCAGTCTTGGACTTTCAGCACTCCACATGTTGCAGGATGAGATTGCACTTCCTATACTCATGTATAAGTATAGAAATTTCAATCAAAAAGTTGACCCAAAAAACCTGGGTTGACTTATCCATGGATCAATGTAAGTACTATACTTTAATACTTATCAAAAAAGGAACCTTCTCCTTCTCTGAGTTGAGCAGTGAAAGGTGAGAGCACCAACTCCCCTTGCTCTCTCTGCCAGGGCACTGCTTCTGACCTTTTGGAATACCTGGGTGGAAAAATGGCAAGCAGTAACAGCTCGATTGCACTTCCCTTCAAAGGAGTGGAATTGGGCTTTGAAGGATTTAAATAAGACATTTGTGTGTATGTTTGTAATTTTTTCTGGGATAAATCAGGGAAAGCTATCACATTAAAGTTAAAGGCTATAATCATAGAATCATGGAGTTGGAAGAGACCACAAGGGCCATCCAGTC